TGGAGTAGGATTAGTGAATTCCAGGATGAAATCCGCGACAGCCTGTCCCTTAATTGCTGTTCGAGGCCGGTAGGAGATGTCAAACTGACTGAGTTCCACTGACCACTGCATGAGTCTACCGGAAAATTCTGGTTGTTGTATGACCTTCTTCAATGGTTGGTCTGTGAGAACCACTATGGAATGGGCCTGGAAGTAAGGACGGAGCCGTCTGGAGGCGGTGACTAAGGCCAAGGACAATTTTTCTAACAGCGGGTAATTCTGCTCTGCTTCCCTGAGAGCCCTGCTGATGTAGTAGACCGGCCGTTGGACAGAGCCGTCTTCCCTGATAAGAGCTGCACTGACTACGGTGCTTGATACGGCTAAATAGAGAAAAAGGGGTTCCCATTTTATCTCTTATGTCAGAGTTGCTCTAAGTAGCTTTACTATTTGAATGCGTGTGTCTTTTTAAGGATGGATCTGAAAGGAATATGAGAAGTGATCGTCCTCTTAATATTTCAAAAAATATTTTCACTACAAGAAAATTGGAATTTAACGGCGTTTATTTAACGGCGTTTAAAAAAATGCCTCTGTTTCTAACATTTAATGGCGTTTTTATAAACGTCGCATTTTTTTGTTTAACAATACGACACCGTTTTAATTTCAAAGTCGTTTTGAAAACGCCTTCGAATGTGTTTTTTTATTTTTTATTTTTTTAACATATGAACATAAAGTAGCGTGTTCTCTCAGTCCCCGTCTTTCTGAAGCCTTGATTTCACTCTCTCTCTTCTCTTCAAACTCCGTATTTGTAGAACCGCAGCTGAACCCCTTTGTATTTGCAGATCGATTCATCTACTCGTAGATCGATTCAAGTATTATTCACTCTCAGTCTTGCTCTCCTTTCTCTAAACCCTTGATTTCACTGTCTCTAGCTTCAAACCCCTTCGTTTCAGAGACAACCCTTCATATTTGTAGAACCATAGCTGAACCCCTTCGTATTTGCAGATTGATTCAAGTATTCATAGATCGATTCAAGCCTCTTCTCTAGTTCGTGTTTGCGTTCGCGTTCGCAGCTCTTTCTTCATAGTAAGTGTTAATCAGTCTCATCTCGATCTTCTTACTGACGGAATCTTTCGATTCAAGTATGCTAGGTTTGATCTACTTTATCATTCTTAGATCAGATTGAAGATCTATTGATTCGATTCAAGTATGGTAGGTTTCGATTGAAGATCTATTGATCGATTGAAGATCATAATGTGCATTGTAGATGTTAAAATTGAACACAAAATACATACATACATATATATGAATAGATTGACAAATTTTCTTTTACAGTCAAGGTCTCTCTCTCATTCTTTATTTGTTTTACATACATGTTTATATGTGTTTGTTCAAATTGTTTTGTTTGGATTTTGAGAAAGTGACTGAAGTTTATAACAAATACAAAAAAAAAGGTATGGAATCTTTCAATCACTCCATTTTTTGGGGGGCTTTTGCTTTTTGTCTCTAAAAGTATATAATAACCGGAATAATCTTTTTATATTTGTGTAAACTTTTCAGTTAACTATGAAATACACTCATAAAATTTTAAGTTTTTACTTCAATTTTACTTTTCACTCATCTTTTATGTTTTCATCTGTGTTGGGTGGGTTCTGTCACAGAGTTGAACTTTGTGTGTCTATATTTTCTGCTCATTGAGAAAGTTACCTGCATAATCTGCATCAATGCATTGGGATCAACTTCACAATGTGTGCTTAATGCCTTAACCTGAACAACAAATTATTTAAATGGTCTCAAAAGTGGAAATCTACGTCTTGCCTATTGCTGCTATTTTGTAAAAGGATCCTAATATTGCTATTCAATTTTCTGTGGCATAATTTATTACAGATTTTTTACCATACTAAGCTGCCTTAACAGCTAATTGTAAAAATATTTGACTAGTACAAGTCGAAAATTTTCTTGTGAAGTTTATTTGTTGCTTGACTGCCACAATAAACACTCAGTTGATGAAGATATTTGTGAATCTTTTAATATATTGGTCTCAGCCTCAAGCTTAAAGGTTACAAAGAAGCTAGATCTGAATTTCTAATTTTGTGTTTGGTTCTACTTTCAAGTACTAAAGCACCTACTTAGGCCAAGCTATTCTAACCTAGCTTCTAAATTTCTGCATCATTAGATGTCATATAGTTATTGGTTTTTCTTACTTTCCTGTTTCTTTTCTTTGTATTTTGGTCCCTATCCTTTTGCTGACTTAATTTTCTGATTTACTCAGATTAAAATGATTTTTGTGCTTGGAGAACTTGGTGGCCGAGATGAGTATTCCCTAGTGGAAGCCCTGAAACAGGGGAAAATCAGTAAACCTGTGGTTGCTTGGGTCAGTGGAACTTGTGCACGTCTCTTCAAGTCAGAAGTACAATTTGGTCATGCGGTGAGCTACTGCTAAATTTCCTTGGATATAATTTTTGTTTATTTATTTTATTTTATTTTTGGTGTTATTTTCTAATTTTGCTCAACGTTGCTTAAATTAGGGAGCCAAAAGTGGTGGTGAGATGGAGTCTGCACAAGCCAAGAATCAAGCACTTCACGATGCTGGAGCTGTTGTCCCAACTTCATTTGAAGCATTTGAAACTGTGATTAAAAAAACATTTGAGAAGCTGGTAAGCTGTTGCACATCTCATACCCATTACTACCATTATGTAGGCATTCCTCACTACCACCAGTTTTAGTAAATCATTTGCTTACATTTTGCTTAGGTTGAGGGGGGCAATGTTACTCCTACAAAGGAAGTTTAAGCCTCCACAAATCCCTGAGGATCTTAATATTGTTATTAAGAGTGGAAAAGTCCGAGCTCCAACTCATATTATATCCACCATATCTGATGACAGAGGTATGATATATGCTATATATATTGTGTATGGGTTTAGGGTTTTCTTTCTCTTATATATTTAGGTGCCATAACTGTTGTAACAATATAGAGAATTAATGCAATATTAATCTTTTGTTGTTAAACTCACACCATCTAGGATATCGGGAGGACAGCAGTCCCGAATTTCTGCTTCAAATTGGAAATAAACTCTGCTAAATCTGTCTTTTTATCTCTGTTTGCAGGCGAAGAACCATGCTATGCTGGTATCCCAATGTCTTCCATTGTTGAACAGGGTTATGGTGTGGGTGATGTCATTTCCCTGTTGTGGTTCAAACTGTTAATCGTAGGTTGAATCTAAGCAAGTTAAACCATTTAATCGAATTTTGTATTACTCTAAATCAAAAATAAATATTTGTTATAAACATACCAAGCTGTACCCGTACCCGTATCCTACTTTTTTTTTTAAAATTTTACCATATCGACATATCCGTAATGTACCATTTCTCATACCCGTGATTCATAGACCCCTAATGCTTTTAGCAGTTCCTTAGGTGGAAAGATTAACCAAAACTGCCTTTTGGCTTTGCTTTTTTCTATTTTCTTTCATTTTCTACTTTGTTAAACAGGTAAAGTGTGTGCTGATCATGGTCCTTGTGTCTCTGGCGCTGACAACACCATTGTAACTGCAAGGGCAGGAAAAGATCAATAATGTGTGAAATAGTCACACTAAAATTTCATGAAATAGTTAATGCCTTGTTGTGTTGAAGGCTCCATTCTTTTTAATGGCTATAACCCTTCTATTGGATGTGTGTAGCTTCAGGACAATTCAATCTGTATAGGACACTCGAGGATGATTAATGCTCTTGGTTCATGGGATATACATTTTTGAGTTGTGGCTCTAATTTTGTAATGTTGAATATTTCAGGTCCTAGTAGCTTTGACATCTTTTGAAGGCCATTCAAAAGCTACCATGCTTCTAATATTTAACAATGCAGCACAAGGAATCCTATCCTCATTTGTCTTCAAATATGCAGGTTTGATTACTTTCCTTAGTAGTTTGAGGTCTTCTTTCTATGCATCAACATTCAGATGCTGTTCTGCTCATTTGAGACTTTAAGAATTATATTTGTTATTGTTCAATATGCACCATTACACGAGTTATTGCATAGGGAATTTTCTTAGTTGCAATCTGACATTTTGTTTGATGTGACCAGATACAATCTTGAAGAAGTATTTATCAACTGTTGCGACAATATTCACAGCCATAGCATCTGCTGCATTATTTGGCCACTCTGACTATAAACTTTATGTTAGGAATTACAGTTGTTTTCATCTCAATACACCAGGTACTACAAGAAAGAGAAATATATTTTAATGATTACCATGTTATTTTCAGGCTTACCTTGTGTTTCATTTCCCCCCCACCCTTTGCAGTTCTTTTCTCCTCTTTCAAAGGTCAAAGATGAACAGCAAAATGGTGTGGTGGAACTAAAGGATGGTGTGGTGGAACTAAAGGATGTTCAGGTTGGTATTTGTTTCTCCTCTTTAAAAACCTACCCTTAAATCCCCTCTACTCCTGTTTAAAGTGAATACACAGATGGCCTCAACAAGAAATGATTCTCACTCAAATTTAATGCCTTTGTTCTTATCTTTTATCTCACCCTCCCATTTTCTCCCTCGCTGTACCTGGACTATGGATTTTGTGGTGTGCCTTTCACCTGATTCAATGAGGCCTCCTGAATCTGATGAGTAGTTCATGGATAACGTCTATATAAGTAGTTCCCCATGCTCATTTTTGTGGTAAATTAAGAATTTTAGAGGGACATATTTACTCAGCAATTATGCTGGTATGAATTTGATGTTGAAGTGCAAAATCCTCAAGAGCTGTGTTCTTCAGATAGCGGAGGGGCTGCAGAGTGGGATCGGTAAGGTGTGGTGGGGGTTAACCTGAGACAGTGAACTCGGCTGTGGCGTTGGCATCCTTCCCTTGTGATTATCCTTGTCGAGAGCGAGTTCAAGCATTACCTTCTCAAACAAATCATGGTTTTTATTGAATTTAGGTAGAGTAATAACAGTCTTGCAAATTTGCAGGGCACCATCAAATATATTTCAATCACTTTTAAGGGTATAAAAGCAAATTTGTTGATGAATATGGGAGGTCTGATGCTTCTTATTTGAATAATTTTTGCTTTTACTTTTTTTTAGTACTTAAATATGATGTTTTGTCACGATGGGAACTGTTAAACATAGTCATTGGTTGTCTATCTATTGTTTCTGCTGGATATCAAGAAAATGTATTCAACAATTCAATGTATAAAAACTTTAGAAGAAAGTTCCTATGTCCATTCACATAACTGGATTGGCTGAATGGAAGCAATCGTACCTTTCTAATGATGGAAACCAAGTTGTCAAATAATGTGTCGTGTTGCGTGCCCTTTCTTATTTTATTTTTTAATTGAACAGGTTCAGAAGGTTGGTAAAGTTGCTCGTGATGTATGCATAATGAGCCATCCAATCCCAGACACCAAGGACTCTCACTCAGTCCAGGTCATTCTGCCACAGAAGCAACTTGGCCGTAAATCAGGTATGTATGCTAAATTTACTTGGTTGTTGCTTCTGTAATTTCCTTTAAGCTACATGAAACAAATGTTTGGAGGCTCCATACACATGCATACCTATGGATTCTGTCCACTATTTTCCTGTATGTCAATGTGTATGAGTAAGAAATGCTTTGAAGACTCTATTTTCTACATCATTGTTTGTGTAGCAGATATAAGCATCGAATGAGGGCATCTTTCTTTTGAACATAGAGTTGTTACGAGTTACTATGCCGAAAAACTGAAGCCACACATAATCTCCCTAATTTAATCCCTTCCGATGAAAAACAATAACAGATTACATCAAAAATTAAGCAAGAACAATTCAAAATGTTGAGGTGGTTTTAATCGTTTAAAAATCACCAGAATTTCTGCGTTGTGATGGTAGCCAAACCAAATCCACGCCAGCATGTTGAATCAAGCAATGTCTACAAAAATCACCCAAATATAAAGCATCTAGGGTTACAGAATTCCACAAGTCACGCAATGCAAATTGCAAATTATCCATAGATCATACTTCTATTACCCATATCCACACAATTACCACATTTAGTTGATTAAATATTAGAATCTAAATAATGCTAAAAAAACATATTAAGTCTAAAAGGAAAAGTTCATTAGGGAATATCAAACTCTACGTTCAAATGAACTCTCTTTGTAAAATTAGAGCTTC